GTCAAATAGAATTTTCATTTTTAAAAGGGACCAGTGGTTAAATCAGCTAACATCAAGAATCATTTTCTTTACACAACTTTGACAAAAAGAATACGCTGCAGAAAATAAATGAATCCATATCATTGACAGATGGATGGCCATATTGGCTAAGAGCTGATTTTGCTCAAAGTTGTCTCCCACTCACCACTAATAGTGTTCTTTAGTTTTGGTCCCCTGGTTTTCTCTAAGATCCTATTGTTTGATGGGGTATGAAAAATATTGTCATAAGACAGAACATGTATAAGAAAATGAAAATCTCCTGTCTCATGGCAAAAAATACATTTCTTTAAGAACTCTAAGGTGAAAGAAAATATTTGGCTGTTCCCTAAATCATTTTGGTTTTTTTTCTGTCTCAGAAGAGGAAGATAGACCCAAAGTAAATCAGTTCTATAAAACATGTTCACCATTTTCTTGATCAGAGGTATGCATTTCCTGCTTTGAAACCTTCCACAGAGGATTAAAAGTTGAGCTCATGGCCTGAGTTGGTTTTTCCTGTGAAAAGAAAAAAAAACGATAATTTAATTCATAGTTTAGGAGTTTCATCTGTGAATCCCATATGAAGGTACTTTTGAATTTGCGAGGTCTTTAATGCTCACTACTAACAACAATTTCTGACAGGCCACTTGTAGGGCCCCCCCCCGTCTGTACTGATGAGGATGGATGTAAGAATATGGGGGCCCTCTCCATGACGACAGGCCAAATGAGGTTGTCAGGCTGGACTTTGGGTAGGATTTACTCCTCAAAACAAGTCATTCTTAGTGAAGAGAGAGAACTATGGCTCATTTAGGTTTTTTTTTTTTTTCAAGATTTCAATTTTTCTCGAAAAAATTGAAACTGTGTCTTCTGGTAGGTTCTAAGGGCAAAAATGTTCATTTGTTTTTTTCTTGAGTGGAATACAAGGAAAGGATGGGGCTGTGGAAATAGGTTGGTGGTGAAGAGCACTTGCTGCTCTTCCAGAGGACTCAAGTTTGAGTCTCAGTACTCATGTCAGGCAGCTTGTAATTCCAACTCTAAGAGGTCCTCCACCTTCTCCAGGACTCCATGGACACCCGTACTCCTTAGTGTATGTGGTAGACACACACACACACACACACACACACACACACACACACACAGAGAGAGAGAGAGAGAGAGAGAGAGAGAGAGAGAACAGAAACAATCTTTAAATCTAAAAAAGGGAAGGAAAGGAGAACAGTGAGGAATTACTCTGTTTTTCTCATCCCCCTAGTGGAACTAATCGAAGTCCAGGTGAGAAAAATATATGGGGATGGGTAGCTAGCCAAAGTTTTGGGACTTCTCGGAAAATGGGAAGACAAGGGCTGTCTCTGGGAGGGCCAGAGGACATGGAGGTTAACATGGGAGTTGCCCAGGGTTACACAGACATGTATATATACAAGCCTCAGAAGCTTTGTCAGAGTTGCAGAGATTAACTTTCAGTGATGCTGTATGAATGTTCTTGTGCCTGTATCTATCATCCAGGTATACAAATGCTACAACTTTTGCATAGTTCCCAACATGCTTTGCATTTCCTAACATCAGTTTACCATGCCTTAAAAACTAAAGAGCATGACCAGGAATAGTCTTGTCATTTCTCATGCTCAAGTAGAAGGCCAGCAGCAGGAGACATACCTCGGACTTAGTAGTACCTCAGTTTACAGTACTTTCTTAGCTCACTTAAGGTACTTAGTAGTACCTTAGTTCACAGTACTTTCATGCCCACTTGCCACATCAACAAACTATTCAGCTCTTCAGCAGAGCCTGAGGACACCCTTGGGACCTCCATCTGTTGGACAGCCCTCAAGGGTTCTTTGTGTTTTAGCAGGCCTAAGTAAGAGCCGCGAACACCCTAAGGGGAAGGACTGGAATTCCAAAAAAACAAGCAAAGGTGATGTGCACAGGCCAACCTGAATATAGTCTTAGTCAACTGCTTCTTATCTGATTCCGGGGCCCTGGTCTGGGAGCACGTCGTCTCTGGCTTGATATGTGAAAGCACGAGTCAGAATAGAAGCTTTAAACCAGGAAGTCTGTGACTAGATTCCAAAAGGTCTTTTCTGAGATCTCGGGGGTTCTAATTACTTTGTTTTATGAGAGCAGGAGGAGAGAAACCACAGGGTACCTGAGGAAAGGAAGAAAGTGAACCCCATTGGGAGAAACAAACAGACCCTGTAGAGGCAGGAAGACACATTTTAACTACCTTCCAACGGTTTCATTAAGTGGAAGAAAAGCCGTCATCCAGGAGAGGACCATGAGCCATGTGGAATGTGGAATTGTGGGCCAAAATGGGTCAGCTGGCCAGACCCACAGTCTATGGCAAAGCGGCACTCCTGGAAAACCAGCAAATGAGCAGGAAACCAAGTGGTTAAATCTTCCCCAAGCCTGAAGATCAGATGTTATTTTTCAGCCATTTCTTTTGGTAGTTTTTCTGATGGGGTGATACTCCAAGAGCCTGTGAATGATTAAAGAATGACAAGGTCAGGTGATAGGTTAGCCCATTCAAAAAATGCAACTGAGGATCAGGAAAAGTCCCCATTGCTGCTGGCCAGTCTGCCTAGTGTCCCAACAACCAGGTAACTTTTCTTTGGCAACTCAGGGCCTTAACATCAGGGCTGGTGAAAAGTGTTCTGGAATTCTGTGGGCATATCCATCCCCATCCATTTGTATCCTCCTCTCATCCATGATCCTGGTGAGTGACGTCATGACAGTGTTGTCAATGAGGGAAAGATTTGAATTATTTTCCTTAATCAGAATTTTCTCCTGTGTCATAGCAGATAATTTATGTAGGTAAGGACCTTAAACTCATACTAGTATGTCCTCGATGAATAGATACATAAGATGGGTCTGGCCTCCTAGGGCTGGGAGAAGACTAATCAAAAGTATTCTGCTTGATGATGCTTGGCATCAACCTCTGAAGCAGAGGTTATTCACTGAAGTCACCTGGGGAGATTTTAAAAATAGCAGCGTGCATTCTTCAGAAATTCTGCTTCATAAACTATGCTGGTGACTGGATAATGGTCACTTTCAAAATCTTCCCAGGGGATTCTATCTAATATGCTAATACAATTGAAAATCAACCTTAGGTATCAGCCTTGCCACCCTGAACAGGCCCAATCTTGTCTGACCTTGGAAGCCAAGCAACGTTAGTCCTAGTTTAGTACTTGGATGGGAGGTAGCATGTGCATGCACGTGTGCACGTGCGTGCGTGTGTGCGTGCGTGTGCACGCCACCACGTGTATGTAAAGGTCAGAGGTTCTTTCCTTCCAGTATGTGGGTCCCAGGATTGAACTCAGATTGTCCCATGGCAAGTGCCTTTTACCTGCTCAGATATTGTACCAGTTTAAATGATTTTCCTAGGTGCCCAAACTAGATCCAATGGCAGAGTGTGGCAGCAAAACTCATAATCCCAGCACTTGGGAAGACTGGGGTGGGAAGATCAAGAGTTCTAGGTTATCCTAGACCATGCAGCAAAACCTCATTTCAAAAATGAGAAAAAAATAAGGGCTGGGAGACAGCAGAGTGTGTAAAAGTGCTTGCAGGCAAGCACGAGGGCCTGAGTTTGAATCCCCAGAATCAATACAAAAGCAAGGCATGGTAACAGGAATACCTATAACCCAAGTGCACCTAAAGAGTGATTGATGGGAGGCAGAAAAAGAATTCCCAGAAGCTTGAGGGCTGGCTAGCCTAGCATATCCCACAGAAAAACAACAGACACACTGTCTCAAGCAAGGCGGAAAGCTGAGCCTGACACCCAAGGTTGTTCTCTGACCTCTACATGAATGCTGTGGCATACATAAGCCTACATATTCATTCATTCTTTCTTCCTCTCACATACACAATCTTAGAGCTCATTCTTTTACTTTATTTTTTAAATAAATCATTTTTCTTTTCCTTTTAAGGTTTACCTTTCTTTCTTTTTTAAATTAATTTTTTATTGGATATTTTATTTACATTTCAGATGTTATCCCCTTATCCCATTCCCTCCCCCCCCGCCCCGCCCAGGAACCCCTATCCCATCCCCCCTCCTCCTGCTTCTATGAGGATATGCCACCACCCTCCCTCCTACTCCCACCTCCCCACCCTCGAATTCCCCCACACTAGAGCATCCAGCCTTCACGGGACCAAGGGCTTCCTCTCCCACCTATCACCGCCAAGGCCAGACCCACATTTCTTTTCAATTGAGTATTTCATTCAGATCGCAGCCTCTTTTAGCTGCTTCCTCTGGCAACAGTTTAGTTCCCACTTCTCTGGAATGTTACAACTGACTGTATTGAGTGAACAAGAGCTCCCAAACCAGGCCTTTTGAAACAGTAAATCAACGACCAGTGATAACCAAAGTCCAGCCTCTCCTTTCACTTAGGAAGGGACTGGGAATAAAAGGATCTAAATTCTACCTTCCAACTGAGACACGCAAGAGCCTAGATGCACTGCAAGCACCCAAACAAAACAAAGTACAACAGTCCCCATATACTCCAGCGCCAGTATCTGACCTCTGACCTCTTCCAGTAGGAATGACCTCACTCAAGCAATCTTAAGGAAGATATTTTGGCCTCTACTTAATTTCCCAAAGCGACATAAAACCTACTAAAAGGGATACAATGGGTCAGCATAAATCAGTTTACTTACAAGAGATTTTCCTGAGTAACGGCTCTTGACTGTTGAGAAACTTCACATTATTTTAAAGTGGCAGAATCCAGGGCACTCAGAGAGGACAGTTCGGCAGTGGCCTAGTGTTGGGGGTAAGTTTATGTAGTAAGCAGGTGCACACACACACCTCTTTTCTTCAGGGTCAGGCAAGGCGCCAAGACCCCGATCATCAAAGTAAGTCATTTTCTATATTACAGTGCATAAAACAACAGAGGAGAGGATGCTTTCATAGAGAGCGAGCAAGCGATTGAAAGGCAGGCATTCATAGTGCAGTAAGTTCTGTGGCTAAGGAAATGGGCGGCAGCTGGGGCTTGTGGCCTTCAGGCGCTGAAGTACTGCTTTTTGACTCCAGAGGAGGCCTCAGTGGTATCTGCCTCCTCCCCGGGTTTTGCTGGCTCCTTGGGCTCCTCGGGCTCCTCTTCCTCCTCCTCATCGTAATAGTCAGCCTCATAGTAAACATCCTCATCCTCTTCTTCCTCATCCAACTCCTGGTAGTCAGCCTCATAGTAGATATCTTCTTCCTCCTCATAGTAATCATCGTCTTCTTCGTAATAGTCATTGTCATAGTGGTAGTCGTTCTCATAATAGTGGTACTCGTAATAGTTCTCATAATAGTCATCCTCTTCCTCCTCCTCCTCCTCCTCCTCTTCATAGTAGTAATAGTCGCCGCCCTCCTCTTCTTCCTCCTCCTCTACCTCCTCATCCTCAAACTCCTCGTAGTAGTAATCGTAATCATCATCATCATCATCATCAACCTCTTCCTCATCATTCTCATCCTCATCGTTCTCCAGGCCCTCCTGGTAGAAGTCGTCCAAGTCCTCGTCCTCGTCCTCGTCCTCGTCCTTGTTCTCATTCTCTTCTTGGGGATAGATGTCTGGGTATTTCTGCATGCACTCCTGCATGGCCTGGAACTGACCTGCACAGTCGGATCCTTTGACTTCTTCGGTGCTGTAGTGGAAGCAGGAAAAGGCAGACTTGAAGTGTTCTCCACAGGGGCCGCTGGCCATTCCTCCAAGGCACGGGCAATTCCAGTTAATGTTTCCGTTTGGCTGTACCAGTCCATACTCCGCGTTGGGATCACTGGGGTCGTCAACCACCAGCTCTGCATTGCTGGGACTTTCGTGGTCTTCTTTGGTCACAAATACAATTTTATCCTTCCCTTCCTGCCGGTTGGAGGCCATGGTAGCTCCCGGTGCTGGATCTCAGTGCTGGTGCTCCTAACTAGCAGCTTGCAGCTCTGAGCTTGAAATGGTGGAAGGAGTGGCTGTAGCTGATACACCTTCAAGCCGTGACCTCCCTCGCCCCTCCTCAGGCCTGGAGGGGGCGGTTCTAAGGCCGGCACAGATCCGCCCCCTCCAGGCCTGCTTGCTTCTGGCCCTAAATATCTTTCAAAGGAAAACATAACCTCCTGATGTTTGGATGAGTACCCCTCAAAGGTCCACATAAAAAAACTGGGTCCCCAGGGTGGTGCTACTTACTGGACAGTCCCTGTGGATCTTTAAGCAGCCTTTGTAGAAATTAGTGGAAGATCCTTAGGTGATTGAGGACATGCCTTGGAAGGTAATGAAGAGTCTAAAATCTCTCAGGCCCTTTGCATACTGGATGATAATGTGTCCACCTTTCTCTGAAACTGCCGTCTATTCTTAGACTTGAATCTCCAGAACCATGAGCCAAAACAAAACTCTCTTTACTTCCTAAGTACCTTGGGTTAGGGATTTTGCTACAAAGCTGTCTCATCCACTGCCCTTCCTTACCTCAGCATCAGCTACTTGGCTGAACATAGGCATCATCTGATGGCTTGCTAAAGTTAGCATTCCTAAGTTCTCACCTGAACGTTATTATT